TTAGAACCCGTGGGTGAGGGAACATACTTGTTTAGCAGAGATCTGCTCTTTGGGCTTGGGTCTCTTGAAACAGTTATCGCGTACTAATCCCACTAAACTTTCAGTGTGTCCTCAGATACTGCCTTGGGTTCTACCTTGGGGACCTTAATATCACCTGTAACAGAGCTTTTTTATTAATTAATTTGAAGCGGCACAGTTTAATTTCTGTGGCATTACATCTGTTTTAATGGCAGCTCTTCTGGTAGCAGGATTGTCTTGAGCACTTGTGAATTGCAGACAGAGTGATTCCTGTAGATGCAGCTCTTGTGTTTTCTAGCAGTGTCTACAGCCAGCAGGCTCCAACCAGCATTAAGTATGCAGCTTACCTGTCTGTCAAGTGGATGGCTTTATAGCACCCATCCTGATAGTATCTATGTATGTTAGCTTGTGGGAGTGATGTGGAGCTGACAAAAAGAGAGGGAGGGCGATTCCTAGTTTGAATTGATCAGATAGTACAGAACAAGATGGAGTTTGCTTACGTGCACTAGAAGTCAGCTATCTGATTAATGCAGTGGTTCTCAAGGTGCTGTCTGTGGACCACTAGTGGTCTGCAACTGTCTTGTAGGTGGGCCATGGGGTTGAGGCTCACCTCTCCCCTCCCCCCGCAGCAGGGAGCATGCACTGGTGCAAGACTCATGGGCCAGATTCGGCTTGTGGGGGAAGGAAGTGGCTTGAAACCCTTCCCACTGCAGGGAGGGGCAGGGCAAGGCCCATGGGCCAGATTTGGCTTGTGGGGGAAGGAAGTGGCTTGAAACCACTCACGTGTAGGCTTTCCCTGCTGCTTCCATTGGCCAGAATCACAGCCAATGGGAGCACTGGGGGGGCAGTTCCTGGGAGTGGTAGCAGGCATGGAGCCAAGTCAGTGCACCCCCCCGTTTCCCTCATGCACCTCCCACCCTCAGCCTGTTTCTGTTTCCTACCTCCCGATCAGACCCTCTATGTCCAGCCACTCCTGCACCTATTTTGTCATGATGGGTGGTTGACAGGTGGTCTGCAGCAAGGACTGCATTGAGCAGGATGGCTGCGGACCAAAAAAGTTTGAGAGCCACTGGATTAATGGAGTAGAAATGCCTGGTCATATTTTACAATGTGAACTGCCATGCTGGCTAAATATGCTAGCCAGTGCTGATGTACTGTGGCTTATAAACTTACACCATCACAGCTGAAATCTCTCCCAGCTGATGAATGGCTCCTTTCCTGTCCTCTAGTTTATGTAAGCCTGCGTAATCACAACCTGGTTTTCCCTTAACAATCAGTTACAGCCTCACTCCATGATTTTTTTTTATTGTATAAACCCTTGATGGAATTACAGGCTTCTGAGACATGCTTTCTTGACTACTATTCTTCCAGAATGTGAGGCTTTGTCTGGAGACGTAGCCAGCAGGTTCTGTACTTGCTCTTGGGAATCGACACTTGAAAAGTGTAGGCCTCAGTCTTCAAACTGCCTCCACACCACTGCTCAATTAGCAACACAAGCCCCTGGCTCCCAGTCCCTCATTCATTTTTGCCCTTTTCTTTCTCTCCTCAGTAAAGTGCTTAGCGCTATTTTAAATAATTGTATTTGGTATTCAACCTAAGGCAGCAGCAGGCAGTCCTTTTCAATAACCCTACACCACGTGAGGCTACTTCCCAGCCAAGGAAATCTTAGAAATCACTGTAGCCTTACCTCAGTTGACTAATACTTAGCTTTGATATCGCACTTTTCCTGCATAGATTTCAAAGTGCTTCATGGAGTTGAGTAGGTATTTTCCCTGGGTTAGAGCTGTGGAAACTGAGGCACAGGAAGAGGGTCTCCCAGATTGCACAGTAAATCAGTGGAAGACCTGCCAGCCTGTCCAGTGTCCTTGCCTCTGGAGCTTAGGAGCATATACACTTTATGCTGCTGCTGCCAAATCACTGGGGATAGTAAAAGAAACCTTGGTCATGGAAATTTAGTGTTGGACGAAGGCTGCTACAACATTGAGTGTAGCTGCACTTGACTTTCCCATCACTAGCTCCAGCTGGTGCTGTATTAATCACACCCCTCTAGAGATAGGGAAGGTCACTCTTGGGGCCTGCTCTTGAGAGCACATCAGAACCAGTCACTAATGCTGCCAGTTGTGCTGGACGCATGGGCTGACACACCCAATTCAAGCTCAAACCTGCCTAGGTTTTTATCACTTGACAGTATCGTAAAGGGTTGGGGAGAAACAGCTGGAAGGAACATGCCTGCAAGAATGTTCTGGTTGCGTTGTTAAAACTACCCAGCAGCTCTCACGGGTTCACAGCAATGACCCAAATTCAAAGAAGTGTAAGTTCGTGCAAGTTGCCTCTTTGCATGTTACACCATTACAGGGAATTCTTGTGCTCACACGGGGCCAGATAAAATGGGTTGCATCTCCTCTCATTCCAGAGTTTTGGGGGATTCAGTCAGTGCGGGATAAAGCCGTCATCGCTTTCTGGGAGCTTCCAGCAGTGGAAACTCTGAAACACAGGACTACCCCTGAGCATGGCCCTCCCTTCCTGTGACTGGCTCTTGCAATACCCACTGCACTGGGAGCGTCTGTGGAGATGCTGCACTGGCACTATACCCTGGCAGAGGGGTGCACACTCTCTGAATGTTGCCTGTGCGCAGGAGGTTAGGATGGCGTAACTCAACCTGAGGGGCTAGAAAATAGTATAGCAACAAAAGAGACCAACGGATGGGAGTGACTGAATTACTGACTTTTCCATCCTTCTGGCTCCTCATCATGCTGAGTCAGTTCCTTTCCACTTAAGTCTACAGGAGGTTGAGTGTATAAGGGGGTCAGTGGGCTCCCTAGTTCCCACCATCCGCAACCCCAGCCAGTGATGGTAACTACCACTCATGGGAGCAACACTGGAAATGTTAGCGGGGACGGGCTGCCACCAGCGTTCAAAGTATGATGCCAGCTAACCTTGTTAACAGCAGGGGTGGATCAAGGCAGTGCTCAAAATCCCAGCAGCTGGGACACGCCCGCTGCAGCTCCCACCGCTTGGGCTTGAACCCTGTTCACGAAAGTGGAAAATTTTGCTCCATGTGGCCGTCCCAGGCAAAGTTTCAGAGTGTAGGGGCAATGTAACATAACACACGACTGCTTGGTATAATGGATGCTCTGTCTCATACAGTGATGCTATGAAAGTAGGTCCGGGGGTTGTGTGGCGTGCTTTTGGGATCCTTCTGCCTTTTGGTCTCGTCCTTCCATTTTTGGAAGTTTGGTTTAAAAAAATACTTCTGTAAAATTCTCCTATTTGGCTTTTAATGTGTTGTACTGGCCACTCCCTCCCACTCCCCCATGTCTTTAAACGATAGAACAAGCTTCTCTTTTATCTTTGAAGCCCAGGATGCAAATTAGAAAGTCCTGCAAAACCAAAGATGATACCTTCGGGCACAGCCTGAAGAGTGGTTGAGAGACTATTTTAGGGTGTGGACAAATGTGTGTAGTGTGTCTTCTGTTGTGTACTGCTCATTTGGGAGCCTGCTCTGTAATCCCGTTCTGTGGCAGAGTTGAGATCTAAAATTAGCCCTTAACACCAGCCCACTGCCCAGTTGTGGGCAATTTGTTTATCCAAAGAGTATTTTTGTCTGGTTGGCCTCCAATTATTTTCACTGGGCGTTTTTAAGTTAAAATTGAACCAAAAAAAAGTTCAATTGTGGTGAAGAAATACAGTGAAGCATACTGCCTTCTACCACTCATCTTTGACTGTCTTGTAGGGGGCTGGATTGTAGGGCAGAGGTGGGGAATGTTAGGTCTGGGGGCCAGATGAGGGCCCCTAGCTCACCTGGATTCAGCCCCTGAGGCTCACAAAATCTAGTAGCCTGGGCCCTCCGAAGCTCTGGTGTGTGGGGACGGTCTCCTTCTTAGTTGGGGGCCACATTAGTGAGGGGTCTTTTTTTCTTTTCACTTGTATGTAGCCCCCAAACTGATTTTTTTCTGTGGGATTTTTTCCTGGCCCAAAAAAGGTTCCCACCCCTCTTGTAGGGTTTTGACAAGTATAAAAGAGTTCAAAGCTCTAAAAAGCTTAAAAACTGGAGGGGCTGCCAGAGCTGTTCTGGTAGATGTTGTGAAGACCAGGCCTTTAACCAGGTTCAAAAAAGCGCTGGATGAGTCCATGGAGGATGGGTCCATCAACTGCTGTTAGCCAGGCTGGGCAGGGGAGGTGGCCCCAGCCTGTGTGCCAGAGGCGAGGGGATGACTGGATGATGCCCTGGTCTGTTCCCTCCCTCTGGGGCACCTGGCCTGGGCCGCTGGCGGCAGATCGGACCGTGGGCGAGTGGACTTTTGCTCTGCTCTTGCGTCTTAAGTAGAAATGTCTCGGATGGGTCCATCAACTGCTGTTAGCCAGGCTGGGCAGGGGAGGTGGCCCCAGCCTGTGTGCCAGAGGCGAGGGGATGACTGGATGATGCCCTGGTCTGTTCCCTCCCTCTGGGGCACCTGGCCTGGGCCGCTGGCGGCAGATCGGACCGTGGGCGAGTGGACTTTTGCTCTGCTCTTGCGTCTTAAGTAGAAATGTCTCGGGCGTGTGCTCCAGTCCCAGGCGTGTCACGGCACGAGTCTGTGGGTGGGTTTCTTCCCCCCCGCCCCCCGCTAGTGCGAGGCCCGCGGGCCTTTCTTCTCCTTTGTTAGCTGTCGGGGGGGGGG